AAAAAAAAAAAAAAAAAAAAAAAAACATGTTTTTGTCTTATTTAAAATTTCTTCAAAAATAAGTTTTTAATTATTCAAAATTAATTTTTATTATATAGAAATCATAGTTTGAAATATAAAATCAAGCATTAAGTTACTTAATAATAAAAAATAAAAATAAAAACATTTTTTTAATCAATTTTAAACATTACAAAAAAATAATTTTAATCATTTTATTTTGTGCTTTTAAATTGTCGAAAAACAAAAACATTAATTTTTTTAATGTATTTTAATCCCACCTGTCTTTTCCACAAATAATAAAATAAATATATAAAAAAAAACTCTACATTTGTTGACGTGTCAGATAAACCAAATGAAATTAAATAAAAAAATATGCCCAATTATTTATAATTTACTTGAAATGTATTTGCACATTTAATAATATCAACGGCTATATATTATAAATTTGTAACATCACTTAGTAACTTATTCGAAGACTTTTCATAATAGACTTCAAAATGAATTCAATATCTCTCACACCATATGACCATATTAAAAAATATTATTTATGTGGTTCACATTAAATTTGAATTTATGTAAATTTATTTTACAAATAAAATATAAAAACGTCAATATAAGTATATATAGAGTCATTACCAAATTAATTAATTATAAAAATGTTAAAAAATTTAAGAATGGGTCGTGCTTGATAACATTTTGAAAATTATATATTGAAATTCAAAATATAACAACTCAAGCCCACCGTCGATAGAAAATGTGTTTTTTAGGGAAAGATTTAGCATTCGTTGGCACAAGGCTCCGTGTTTCTTTGATACCGTTTGTAATAACCCAAGTCCATTGTTAGCAGATATTGTCCGTTTTGATCTGTTACGTATCGTCGTCAGCCTCACGATATTAAAACATATCTTGACTAAAAATCACATAATAACTTCGTATATTATTATTATTAATAATTAAAATTTAAGAATAAGAACAAATCAAACACGGAAACTATAACACTTTATTTATAAAAAAAAAACATTTCTTAAATATGAATGATAAATATAACAATAAATAATTTTTAAAAAAAAGTATACCAAAAAATGCTTTAGTAATTTTTTAAACAATATATCTAAATAATTGAGTTAAATAACAGATAAAATTTATACATTTTTTTTCAATTAAAAAAACATAACAAATAAAAAGGTATGAATAACCACACCAATATTTAAATATAATAATTTCAACTCTAACTCTATCAAATAAATTTTATTTGTGATCAATTGATTACGGGTTGACATTTTTTTGTCGAGTCAACTTGACCAACCCAATTCTACCCTACTTTTAAAATTAGTATGAAATTAAGAATATTTAACATTTATAACCGAAAATTATAAATATTGTGACGTGATAATGTTTGATATTTTAACTTTATAAGATTTTTGTTATTTAACGTTACATATATGGTAAATAAATATGATTTTTTAAATAGTTAAAAAAAAAAACCGACAACCCAACCTAATATGAAAATAAAGAAGGTAGCCACGTGCACACCTACCGAATTGTGTTATTATTATAATAAATAAAATGAGCTTAGTCACATTTTTAAATTAATTTTTCATTTTCCAAATGAAGTCCACGACGTCATATTATATATATATATATATATTATCATAAGGTTATTGTCAAAAAATATTTCTTTTAGTGGTAACGTAGTATAATATATTATCTATCACTTTAAATAATTAATTTTTATTTGTTATTTTTAGAAATTTTGTGTCTTAAAATATATTAATTTGATTAAAAAAAATCAATTATTTTGTTGTATCTCACATTTTCAACGATAAGATTAGTTGAAAGTTGTTAAAGTTTCAATGAATTTGGACTATTATCATAATGTCAAATTTAATAAATTCTTATTTTCAATAATTTTAATGAATTAAATGAAAAAATTTAAAATAACTTGATTTTATTATTATTTTTTAATATCTATTTTATAGACAGCTTTAATATATATATATAATTTCATAAATTATTTATTAGTAATTCTTTAAAATAGATTATAACTATAATATATATTAAAAATAAGTCGAAAATTTTAATAAATGTTTAAAAATAAATAAATATATATTTTACGAATTTAATAAATAAATATATAAATGTTTAAAAAATAAGTCGAGTAAATCTATTTAAATTTATAATTATTAACTAAAATTTAATAAAATATCCAATAAATTTTAGGGCTAATTTAGTCTTTTCACTCGCATGATTATGAAATCCTTCTTAAAATGGACTTCCACTAAGCTATATACGAAGCTTCAGTCAACAAACTGGAATCGCCTCTCTGCAATTCTCTCATTTTCAGCGGCACTCTGCTCGATCCTATACCTCCAAATC